ATTCCTGTGCGGAAGATAGAAACATGATATATATATATATATATATATATATATATATATCAGCATCAGTATATTGTTTTTATGGCACCTGGTCGGGGATGTTGATTGTTAATTTTTTGCATTATTTTGATAGCTTCGTGCTGGCGTTGAACTTGGCGCGATTCTCGGCCCACAACAAACAACGAAGCCACCTGCTCAACTTCAACCGATTGGAGTTATTTTGGCTCAACCACCGGCTCGGTGTACGGCGCTGAGCTTTTCCGAGATTCGACAGCAAACATCAGCAGCGAAACCACAGAATCCTCTCAGTTCCCCCAACCCGGGGGTTATGGTCGCTGTAGGCACACCGCATGGTTATGGTGTTGTCTACTTACCACCACCTAATGTCCCCCCCTCAGAACCTTCCACTCCATGGAAAGCTGGGCCCACACAACTGCTCATTGCTGAAAGTACCCTACCGGACAACTATGAAGCCTTACAGGAGGCTGCGGCCGGAGAGGGATGGGCACGACGTCGCACACGAGAACTCAAGAAGAGTCTGCGTGACTCGTTTCGACGTCTCAAACGAATGCGTTCAACCAAGCGAGCAACCAATGAAGTACGACGACCAATCACCTGCTCAACTTCAACCGATTGGAGTTATTTTGGCTCAACCACCGGCTCGGTGTACGGCGCTGAGCTTTTCCGAGATTCGACAGCAAACATCAGCAGCGAAACCACAGAATCCTCTCAGTTCCCCCAACCCGGGGGTTATGGTCGCTGTAGGCACACCGCATGGTTATGGTGTTGTCTACTTACCACCACCTAATGTCCCCCCCTCAGAACCTTCCACTCCATGGAAAGCTGGGCCCACACAACTGCTCATTGCTGAAAGTACCCTACCGGACAACTATGAAGCCTTACAGGAGGCTGCGGCCGGAGAGGGATGGGCACGACGTCGCACACGAGAACTCAAGAAGAGTCTGCGTGACTCGTTTCGACGTCTCAAACGAATGCGTTCAACCAAGCGAGCAACCAATGAAGTACCGGCGACGACCAATCTCAGTAGAGCTGGTGTTCGTCGAACTGTCACACAGGTCAGCGCTATGCATATTTGTTTTGATTTGAATTCATACTGCAGCTTTTTACTATTCTTCAGTGCCGTGATACACAGTTACCCTGCTGCTCGAATTACTGTTAATTTTCCAGTGCTCCGAGTACTGGGTAATGGTAATTAACATTTTGACAACTGAACTTGGCGTTATACTGTTCGTATATCTAGGCTTGAATCCGGACATGTCTGAATCTACTGGTTGAGAATAATGTATCCGAGGAAGTGAAAATAATAGAACTAGCATAGATGGATTATGAATACAACCACCGTGTTGTAAAAACAAACGATGTTTGCTATTTATGACTGAATCACATCTCTCCAGGTTTCTACATCTTCCCGGAAGTCTTTCCTATGACTGGATTTGTAAGATTCTACTCAACAGAACCCATGGATTGCTTTCGTTAGTGTATGCATTTCCCCATCAATCCAGCGTCGAACATTTGCGCGTCTGAAAAGTCGTTCTCCTGCAGCATCCTTTTGATGCATATCAAAAGTGCGGTATGAAAGAAACACGATAGCTGGGCTCCTTCGTGTTTTCCCAAGTTTGGTGTGACGTCGTTATTCTTCGTGTATCAAAAGTAAACTTCAGTGACCCGCGCGCTGTTCGTCGCGTTGACTGACTAAGCGACCTCAAACTCAACCCTGGGGAATAGACTGAGGAAATGTGGTTCACAAGCCACTCCTGACGTTGTGACTGGTCGATGCTACCACTTAACATGTGGTCAGTATGCTTGGCTGGTGTGTTCCAATTGTAATCAATAAAAATTAGCGCATTTGTTGTCCAGTTGGTTCTTCTGTCATCCGTCCGGGGCAATTCTATTGAAGTTTCACGCTCCTCTGGGACAATTGTACGACTCACCGGTTTAACTGTGTGTGAGTCTACCGCTGATCTGTATTCCAAGTAATATTGAGTTCAACCATTGTTATACCATATTCAATCGTCTACCACAGCTTGCATGAAAATAGGCATAGAAAAGTAAACTGTTTCTAACGTTGCTGCACTTTTCGCACTAGAACGACAGAATGTGACTCTACCTCCGTCCCTCAGTGTCTAATTTTGTTGAAAAGCAGACTTCCGTAGATCAACCAAAATATATGCTTTTGGCGTGACTGGTTCTCGATTTGCGCCGGATGGGTTTTTGGTCACTCAGCGCGCGCGTTCCTTTCTCAGTGAGCTTACCCCAACACCTCTGTTACTTTTGCTTTAGGTTCTTCCCATGAATCACTTCCCCTTTTTACGCATCGTTGTCACGAAACCAGTTAAATTATCAGCGTGTATTGGGAGGGTATAATAGAACTGCTCGTTCGGTAGGCTTCAAAGTTTAATATGGTGTCGTTCCAAGTTGATCGCAACCATCGTTTCGAGCCGCGATTGCACTGAAAAGTCGTTAGACTGACAACTATTTCCCGCGTACTTTAAAGGGTTCTCTGTAGAAGTTGACCTGGAAACCGAGTTGCATAACACTGCCGAAACCGTTGAAACCTTCAGAAAGTAGTAGGAGGTTTGGCCGATGCTGAAATGAGAGTATTCATACCCGACTGCTGCTCTACCGACGCTTGCTATCCGTCACGCTCATCTGTCCAAACTTCACATCTGATTCGCCACGTCTCTATCCACTAGAATGAACAGTTGACATCTGTCAGTACCACTGGTGAGACCCTTCTGTGACTTACACTATAGATCGGGCATTGCCACTCAAAAACATTGGTGTAAAGTGTTCGAAGTTAGAAGGGAAATGGGTAGGTCTTGAATTCAGCGGTTCGAATACACGTAGCGTGAACGAAAAACTATCCCCGGGAGCTGGCCCGAACTGATGGCAAGTATGGTATGTTATTTGGCGGAGTTGTGGCACGTCAGTCTTTGGAGGTGTGGTGCACGAGCACGACGGACGGTAAGCGTCCTCGTTAACGCAGTCGACGGAGCACCCGTTCGGTAAGCAGGAGGTTGACGGTTCTACGCTCACAAGTGCTTCCTCCTGTTCATGTTACCTGTTGTTGGAACCCCAGGTATGAGGTCGTCCACTACGCCAACCCGTCCGAACAGTTGTTTTAATGAGAGCCACAACGGCGTTATCTTTTAACTGTCATTTAATATCCCCCCCCCCCCCCGTCTTAAGAAGCGGATCACCCCCCTACGAAGCCAAATTCTCCCTTCTTCTCTGTTGTTCTCTCGGTACCGATTTAGTTCTACTCAATTTTGCCCGTCGCGGTAAGGTTGGACGTTACCGTGGTGTGACAGTCTGTGGACCACGGACCAACTGAGCTATGCTGGAGGGTGTCCGTGAAACACTCACACCAGGTTAATCAATGGTTGTAGGCATAATATCTCCCTCCTTGTGACCCGTCAGTTAGGACTGGTAACTCCGTTCGTCCTGCGTCCGTTTTCACAACGCGTCCTCCAGTGCTCACATCCTCAAGCAGCTCGAAATCAATCTTCGAGCCTTGATAACCACTCTGTGAGGCTGTTTGTAATGTTCGCAGTCTGAAGCAAGCAGGGCAACCAGCTGCTCCTGCTCTCACACTGGACTCGTTCGATATTGATGTATTGTGTATCAGAAACAAGAATTCAAGATTCCAGCACAGTGGTTTAGCTAAGTGCCCCACCACTACCCACTTGCACGTCTGTCGATCCAGAGGCCGTTGCGGCAGCACGTGTTTGTGTGTGTGTGTGTGTTTGACGCCACAGGGCTTCAAAGTGGTATATATCTGAATCTCAAGGGACGTGTGTATCAGGCTATAGTGCGGGCTGCTCTGTTGTATGGCTGTGAGGCATAGCGCGAAACTTGTCTTCAGGTCTTTTCAACCGTTGTCTCGGAACCATTGCTCGTGTGGGTTGGTGTCTTGGGCTTTCATTGACGAATATATCCAGCACCTGGAGCTGCTTTGGTTTGGCCATGTATTGCGCATGACGAACCATCGTTTGCCACAGAGAGCGCTTTTGTGCGTGCCCAATTCAGATTGGTGGAAGCAGATTGTGAAAGAGATTACGAAGCTCTGGGTTCTGTCGGTACGATTTGCCTTCCAGGCTGAGGACTGCGTCAGGCTCACTGGATCTGGTTGGAGACGCTTCAAGTAATGGCGTTCTTGTCAGTTTCTATCAACATTGCCTGAGGCACTTGGTAATGATTATGGTAGGCTAGCAATAAGTCCTATCCTCGTCCATTTTTATTCCTTTCTTCACAACAAGGCTTTCGAATAAATCATGGTTGTACGGCAGTGAAGCGTCAGTGTTAAACACTGGTGTTATGCTGTCGATGGCGATGACGACTGACGCAACTTCTTGACCAATTTCCAGTGCAAGTGAAACCCAGTGGTGCTGATCGGCGCAAATTAGGCTTCATCAGACTGTCCTTCAACCAAGGTGACTATCCCATATTCATTTTTGCGGGTAAAGCTTCCAGTAACTACGAACTGACAAGCTTTATGACTCTCAAAACCACAAAAATTTGGCATTATTCGTGATAAAGCTTAATCTGAAAATTTAAGTTGACCAATCTTGCCGGTGGATGGAATTGTGTCGTGCATTGTTCACTGGAAAAGTTTACACCGTTTGTGGGAACTTATCCTTAAACGAGTTTCATAAAATGGTTGAAGAATGTTGCGCGATGAACATGTACTATCAACCATATTAGAATTTTTGTAGATGATCGAATGGACCGACAGGTGTTTTTCGAACCATCACGTTTCGCTGGTATCGTCGGTTGCAGCACACCGTACTTTCAAATTGAAGTAACGGCAGGTCAAAAACATTTGTAGAACGCATCGTATGTATGCGGCGACAACATTCTGGAAATTCTGACGCCTCCTGGATGCGCCATTGGCGGCAGGCATTCGGTCAATACTGAGTCGTGATTGGCTGTTGGGTCCAGACTTGCGACCAGTCAGATATCGTCTTGATGCTGGACCGGCAAGCGTCCCGAACTTTTGGCAAGTCTTGCGCAGGATAGGCTCTTCCATCCCGACTGCGAGCGGTAAGGCGGGATCCGTGCGGAATTCCGCCTACCCTCCTTGTGTACTTTTCATGATTACAAGGTTCAGAGGATACGGGACTAATTCCGCTATAAATTCTGTTCTGGAGCCTACCCAGCCATTATTTGTTTTTTACTTATGAAGTGCTTGGCTGCTCGACTTTTCTTCAGTAATACTTTTGTTTATTCTTTTTACTCAGAACACTCGTGGTATTGGTCGGAACATTGACAGTGGTCCTCTTGAAGACGCCGAACTCCGTGCGATAGGTATGAATGATCCACCTGAATTTAGCTCTTCTGGTCTTCCACCTGTTGGTATCGAGCGCGAAATCTGTGATCGCCCCACTGACTCAGCTAGTGTCGCCATTGTTTCCTATTTTGTCTACGGTCCTCCGTTGTTCCGGTTCTCTTCATCGTCCTCTGCCTCACAAACGGCCAATCAACCAATCGGATCCTTGTTTGTGGGCACCAAAGCCGGTATTGTCAAGGCCTACGCACTGTTCGCTGACCGAAGCCTGCAGTCTTCGCAGCCTCCAACTGTGTTTCGCATGCAACTGGCGAAACAGCTCATCCTGCAACACCGTGCACCTATCCTCAACCTTCGTCTAGTGGATGGCAAATCAAATCATCCCCTTCCAAGTTCTGGTACGTATTGAGGTTTTTCCATACAATTAAGCTTCTTGTAACATTAGATCTGGTCACTGAAGTGCTCTGGTTGATTGATCAGTCCGCGTTTGCCACCTGGCGAATAATCCGCATTCTTTGAATTGCGTAACAAATTTGATTAGGAAACACGAATATTATTGCCCAAAGGCTTAGTTGTTTGGGGATCTCTCCGTATGTAACATATAACGCATACCTTCTGTTCTACTTGAAAACCAAATTATACGCAACTGGTGAAGTACGGTAAGTTGCAAATTGCGTTGGTGCTGACTGAAGACTCAGGGGATATTATTCGCCTAAGAAGTGCAAAACTCGTAGTGGACTGTCGAAATATGTTATGTCGGAAGTTATACTGCAGTATTTCGAATTTCAATGTCAATCGAAACTTGAGGTTGTCTTTGAGCGGCGCATTCAGTTTGAAAATGGGTTATTTCACTCATCTACCCGTATTTTTGTTGATCAGCAACTCCCTTTAGTTGGTTCTTTCGTAATATGATACTACCGGTAACATTGATGGAAGCTCCTTCAGCAGTCCGCTTTGTGGTTTTAATTTTGTCTTATTCGAGCTTCACATCTGCGGTCTTGCAAATCACCCGTCAACTACCCTTTGGGCACTTTCAACGATATGAGGGTTGTTTTGCTGATTATTTGAACCCGTGAGATTCGATAATGATGTTCAACGCAGTATTGGCAATTTTCTGCACGGGTAGAGAATGGGTTGATTCTACATGGATCCGCTGAGTCCGAGCTTAATTCGTTGGCACTTAGCGGGTACCACATTTGTGATGTGAAGCCACCCGAAAAGTTTGCAATATCAATGATGGGAAAGCGATATTTTCACACCACGTATTGATCCTTCTTGAAGTCAACAGTCTTTCTCTACTAGTTATGCTTTGTCCCTTCGATAAGTGCCCACCCCTTCCCCTTATTCTTATTAGTACAACAAAGTGGGCCATTAAGCGCACTGTTCTGATTACACATATACATATTACCCACCACACTTTTCCTTTTGGCAAATCTGGTCCATTTACTTATTGCGGATGTTCCATTTCTCATGGCCTATTTTATGTGACACCGTACCTGAATGACAGGTCAGTGCTGTGTTTTTCGGGGGGAGGGGTTGTGGTCATCACCTGTATGTAGGCTACTTGGCACAACAGGGGATCAGACCTTTGACTGCGAGACGCCGGTGCATGTATCCAACACAGCACCAATGTCCGACCAACATTGTAATCGCATTATTCGATTCTCGGGTATTACAGGTCTAGTCTCTCTATGCACGAATTCCCCACAAAACTCAATTTGTAATGTCGTCGGTTAACTAATGTATACCGTAAACCAGCATTCACCGGTGCCCAGCATTCAAACTGCAGCTCCCTGTATTGAGTCGGCTACACGTACGTAGGCGGTTCTTAGGCCAAACAGAGCCTTATTTACATAGCTTATCAGATGTGTAGTCAGTAAAACACCCTAATCGATTTTTCGGGACGTGATTGAAACAAGTTACAAGCAAAGCGCAAGTTGCCTGTTCATTACTCTGCAACATAACACAAACCTATCTTGCGTAGCAATCAATCGAGCACTGTTGTTCAAACGGCTTCAGCGAATATTGTGTTCAAAATGTTCTGCTTCACGTGGTTGAAGAGATCACTCGAATTCCTGGTGCTCCGCATTGTTTAGCTTCTCGCAATCCTGACCGAATGGATTATGGGAGCATAGGGTTTTAAATCCCCCGAGCGAATGCCGCTTTCTTCCGTAAGGCGGACTCCGAGTCCAGTTGGAATGGTCGCACAATTTGGCATTTTACCTAGACTGTCTTCGATAAATTCTGCCAAGACCTTACGGTTGCAGAATCCACACCATACTCAATTATTTCAAATGCAGAATGTGGGATCCGGTAAATTTTTTCGGATTTCACATAGCCGGCCTTCGCTGCTATTCGACCTCATGCAGACCCGAAGTTAGAAAAGAAATCTATCGGGACATCTGTACTGAGTATTGGCTAGCAGATAAATTACTATTGGCACACACAACAGGACTGTGACGAAGAGTATTTGAGGCCTGGTTTGGGTTTAGTTCTTAAACATTTCGGTTCAGGTACACATAATTTGCGAACGTGCGGTCAGTACTTAGCAAACTGTAGCCATTCTGAAGGCTGTAGGGTACAGTTGTCACAGTCACTGTGGCTCTGTCTACTTGGCAACATGAGTCAATACAGTCAGTCAGCTTATCAGCTACAAACAGTGTACAAAGTGTATGTTGCTTCTAATTGCTACTATTTCGATCACCGGGAAACGGGAGAGCAGAGTGAGTGGCCAAGCATATGGTATAATCAGTTGGTTTTGGAAACTGGGTGGTTAAGCATTGAGGGTGACGGCTTTGGTGCGCAAGCACCACCGACTGCGTGATTCAGCCTTGTCCGCCAGCATCATTAAACATTGTTGAGTTGAGCCCCGGGATCTCGACTCAGGTAGGCGGTAGTTTTCAACCCAATTGAGTTTATTGGCTAGTGTTTTTATACGTCGTTGCCAAGTCATACACTGTCCACCTCTCGGCTGCTTCCACTCAGTACATGGCTGGGTGAAAAGTACTCTGAAACTACCTTCTGGCATGCAGAGTACATGTCCTAACCAGCGTAATCTCATCATGATCGACGGATGATATCAGTGTCCAAAACTGCTGCTTCAAAGCTTAATTTATGGAACATTAGTAACTCATCCGTCATGGGAAAGCTTCTATCAAAACCGTCTGTCCTAACTCAGCATTACCATTCCGATGTTCCCACTAAATCCAGACAATGCTCCGAAGACACCGATGGTCAAACACCAGTGGCTTCCGTAGTCCTCCGCACATAGAGGCCACGTTTCTGATCCATAAAGCAGTGGATTGCACTGCCCTAGTGTATACTCTACCCTTGATAGATAAATTGATATCACGTCGGTGCCGTAAGTGTCGGAGGTTGGAAAAACTGTCCTGGCTCTTCCAATCCGAGAAGTTATCTTGTCTCCAGCCAGTCCACCGGAACTCGTACGAGCACACAGGTTGATAAATGTATCCAACATCTCGATTGGCTCGTCTGCAAGCATGTGTGTGCTTGATTCAACCCATCTTGTAGCCCCGAAATTTTTCTGACTCCCGAGGCTTCATTACATGAGATGAGCGTTAGTCTCTAATACTTTGATTCCTGTAAGGAATCAAGACAATGTGTGCTGAAGACAAAGTGAACGGATCTGCAGTAATATCACATTTCCGTAACCTTCTAGGAGACTTCTCACCGGTTAGCCAGATCAGGTCTGAAATCTTCAGTTTATTTTGCTTTATTGCTTATCGTTTTTTCAATGCCGTTCCTTTTTGACATTGTAATTAAAGGCGCTCGCAGCCGCCATCGCTTGTTGTTCTTCCAAGGACTCTGTAGTAGTGATCTGCTTCAGCCTTTTGAGTAAATCCATCTGACTTCCTCAAATGTCCCGATGGGTTTTTCATATAACAGTCACTCGAAGACAAACATTTTCGTCGTTCGTATGCTTGTTGGACTGGTCGCTGGTGCGAACAAACCTACGACCATCGGTGCAACGCGAAATTCTATCATCCTTCTAAACAGTCAATAGTATTTTGGAAGCAGCTGATTCGTGCTCATCGTCATGTAGCTTTAACACCACCTACCTTTCAGGTGGGTTGTGTATGACATCGGCGAGTCACCGACCTGAGCCGCTTTCCTAACGTTGCCGCTACGATGCACCGATGATATAATGAATAGAATGGACACTTCCCGTTGTTCACCTTTATGGCTGGAATATTTACCAATGAATCAAATTGAGTTTAATCCATTTTGAATCAGAATTTGTATTTCCAATAGGTCGCGATTGTAACGAGTTCAGTTTTAAAGCGCATTTCCCCAAAACATCTGAATTTACCAACGAATTTCTCAAATCTGTCCTGAGACTTCTTTCGTCTCCAGCTATTCGAGAAATCTAGTCCGGTTGGGAAGGTATTTTACCCAACATATCTCTGCGCGCCTGGCTGGTGAACTTTTGCTTGTTCTGTCAACCTCTGTTCACGGCATGTTCAAATTTTGACAGGAACTTTAGTACAGAGGTGATTCTCGAAAGGCAGCAGTATTAGCTTTTCCGACAACCACCACCCACATTTCCAATTTTGGATGAATAAGGTTCTGTAGTTGACTCAATTATTATTCAACTGGAAGAGAAATTTTATGTGGGCTGACGAATATGGCAAGCAATTTAAGGTGGGTATGCAATCGCCTACTTTGAATTCGTTTATTACAGTTGTGTGGTGTTTCCCGTGTGTAGTATTCTCTACCTAATTCAAGAGAAGCTGCACAAATTAGCGGTTTTCAACATTCCGTTTAATCATCTTTTGATTTGCAACAACGCCATATTTTTAGGATGAAAAAAGGGCCGCGCTTTTCTCGCACCACTATTAATAAGTATAATAATATATTGACATTGATCCGATCGGTTTATTCCCACAGCTCTATACTTTCATTCAAACCTCTCCAATCACGCTACTGTTCCGCCCAACTTGCTGGTTGTTAGTGAGGAACAAGTGCGGTTGTTCACCCTACCTGCACTTCGCCTCCGCTTCAAAGCGCGTATTACAGCCAAGGACGGCTACCGTATCAAAGCTGGCACAGTTGTCTCCTTTCGAATAAGCGACAGGTCGCGTCGAGGTTCTGTGGACAAAGTAGGAGATGGTACGTCATCTCTGCCTTCATGATCCGCCTCTTTGTGAGCGTGTTCTTCCACCTTGATTGTGCGGCACATATTACTTAATTGTCTCTCGCATCTCCATATAGATTCGGCTTTTGGCGACTTGGATCGTTCTGGAGCCAGTACAGCCTCAACTCCGAATCACTTCGGTACACAAGGTGACCTGTGTTGGTCGGAATTCTCGTTCGTATTCACTAATGTCGGGGGACAAGCTGTCGTCCTCAGTATGCCCCATTTGTCACGAAAGGATACTTTCCATGTGTTGGATTCAAATGATGTAGTAGCTGTGAGTTCTGTGATGTTTTCAGAACCCGGTACCGTGGATTTCTCACATGCTCAGTCGGTAACAGCACCGTCACTTGGTGTCTACCAACTCGCCCCAGGACAGGTGAGTTCTTGTCGTTTACTTCTCCTCCCGCATTTTTCGTCTATCCATGCTCAAACTTCTCCACCCTGTCTAAGTATTAGATGGGACTCTATTGTTTAGACTATTCTTCATCCCGCTTGTACTAAGAACGCGAATACGACCAGTTGTTCTGAGTGTTTTTATGACTCTTCTTCACTGCATGATTCGGTTTGACTGAGGTCATGATTGTGTGGTCTCTTTCCAACCTCATAAGCTTGTTGGTTCCATCTTTGTTTCGGAATCTTGTAAAGCAGCCTATATTATTCGTTACCTACGTTAGATAGTGTTTCTCATGTCGAATTATTATAATTAGGCTCCACGTCGTTCCAATTTAAAGCTAAACTCTGTTTAGTTTGAGAGTATTTACACCCTTCTAGATCATCGTATAACATAAGCGGTGTTTGAAGTTCGTGTATGGATATCCGTCATTGTTTCCCTCCAAGCCCTTTGATGTGTTCCCTATGCCCGTTAACACGCTTTCAAGTACAGGACGAGCTCATTATCTCTCGAGGTGTTCTAACTAACCATTGCTTCTCTACTTGGGACAGGTAACTCTGTTCGACGTTACGCGTGTTGGCCAGCGAGCCAGTCTTCTCGGCGCTTCCTACCGACCAATCCATCGGATTCCAAACCAACCACCTGGACCCATGAAGCCTTTACCACCTCCGGTCCCACAGATCGCCCTGCCATTAAACAACGGGTCGACAGCTGACTCTAGTGGTGTTTCTAGTAGGATTTTCCCGCTACCTCATCCAAAACACTCAACGTTTTCTGTTCATACCACCACCGGCTGTTCGACTTCGTTCACGGGTAGTCAGATCAATTCCTCCATGTTATCCAATACCCTGAGCGATTCAGTACGAGATTGTTTTAGCTCGCCCGGGTCATCCTTTGTCAGTGACCAGTATGTGGGTGAGTAGTGCATGTCCTGAAGGTGTCACCTACTAATTAATTATAGACTGTTTTCGTTTTTGTACAAGTGATTTCCAGATAGACTTGAAAGTTTTCCCACCGTAGGAAATCTTCTGGCTAATGTGTTTGCTGACAGGCTGAACAGCCGTTTTTATGTAGTTATCCTATTTGTTCGCTGACATGTTTTGATAATCCTACCGATACGCTTGAACTAATCATAGTATGTTAGCCTTCTGTGAAAGATGGGCCCATTCATTGATATTGATGACACCTACCCCGCACATCTGTATTCCGCTGTCTTCTGACAATTAGTGGGCTTACTTGTTTCACTTACATTACACCACAGATTTTTGTATTTAGCTTGTTTTTACATCTACTTCTGGAAAGTGATCATTTAGTCCCCACCACTGTACGCATTATTTCACGAGCAACACGCACAGGAAAGCGAACTTCAACGGATCATTATTTTTTCTGAGGTAGAACGGTTAAACCTGTGAGTGTAAGCTATCCGGAAAGGTGCGGAGTCACTCATACAGACTGTTCACCGAAAAGTAAATATAGGTCTCAACCACCGTTATTTTTTTAAGGTGAGTTGTATCCTCGAACAGGATTTAAAACAAGTCCCAGCTCTACGTCTATCTTGTTCCCACCCGTGAGGGCTGTGAATTCAATTAAACTAACAGGGTGTTGAAGATTATTTTGTTTCGGTGCCACAAAAAGCCTGAATGAACTGGTCTGGACTGGTCAACTGAAGCATGCACCGGACCCACTTTGTGCGCTCAAATGCAGTCATCTAAAGGTACACGCTAACCAGCTTACTAAAGTATACGAACACATCATGGTTAGAGCGTGCTACTAGCCGTCACATGTATATTACCGTCAACCGTGTGCGCTTTTAGCCCGATGGCTTACATCGTAACCGTAGTGGTAGTATCTGCTTTCCGTGTTTACGACCCAAAACTCCTTTGGTGTCGGATGGTGTCTCTCTTATGTGGCTCTGTAACGTTCTTGAGACCCCTATGTAACTGAGCTGTTCGATTTTCCGTGCACTGATCGTTCTTCTAACTAGAGCCCGTGATTCCGTAGCCCAGATGGCGAGATTGGCTTGTTAAGTCACTGTGTTCTTAAGGGCACACTGACACATTTGCGTCAAGGATGTCATCATCTGTCTCCTGTCCAAACACGCTGCCACAGCAATCATCCATTGATCCCCAACGTTAGCGAGCTAATGTCGATGATCCCAATTGCTAATGTGTCCCACACACAATGGTTCCGAGACTCAGCACCAAACAACTGACATTCTGACCTCAAGACAGCTTTGCGTGTGTCCGAATTTCTCGAGCTTTCAGTCTCTTACCCTCTCCCTTTTTCGATGCAGACCGTCGTCACGTGTCCTGAGCTGACCGCTTCGTCTTAATCAACAGCTGCAACTGATGGCCTTCATGCTGTCGGTCCTCCTTGTTCAGCACTTCGGTGACCAGCATACATATCACAAGCTTTGCTTTCCTGTTTACACTCACCTTTTTGTGACGGCATAATTTTCTAAACACTGATTTCTTGTCCTCAGGCAACCAGTGTCCCTAGGTTCGTGCACAAATACGGACTCAATTCTAATTGTGGTATTTTCAACGCCGATGTGTTATACATTCTGCCCCACCATCAACTCTAGATTCCACGATCGGAACTGTATCGTTGCCCATCCCCGTTTTCATTGGCCTGCTTTGCTTAAGTTTTGTTAATGAAGAACCGCTATCCACACTTCCTATATGCTTGGTTTCCCACTCCAACAATTTCGATCAAATATCATTTACCAAAATGCGCACATCAGTCTCGGCCTTCTGGAAAACTGTTACCCTCCCTCTACAATTTTGTGCAACGGTCCGTACTCGACTTGCCCGTTTCCACCCATTCTTAATGTTTCATCAAATGGTTATATTTTGTTTTTTTCTAAATTACACTACGGAAGATAACATTATTGTTCCTCTTGAATTTATTTTTTGCACATTCGTTACGCAATGGTTTCGTTTCCCGCAGCTGTCTTCACCGACATATGGGCACATTGAAGCGTAATTTACTTGATACTGGTCTAGTGCGCTGTGTATGAACTAGTTATCTCGGTTCACAACAATGTTTACCTTGCTGATTACTATGGTTATCGAAGAGGCTTTACCCATCTTGTACATATTTGACTGACCACAGTGATTTTAAGGGAACCGAATTTGATATCACCTTAGAAGGCACCTGTTCCCAACTCCTCAACTTACCTCCCGAACAAATTAATTTAGGACTGGTGGCCCTCATCCTATATGGCCGTCATTTTCCCAATCATTGCACTGAGGGTCTTCGTCCGACTCGTCAAATTAATTAACATTACTAGTAGTTTACTTCGAAGCTTGTCTGCCTCCAGATGCACTTTCCCCGATCTCATGGAATCACCTCAACCCAACCTATAACGGAGTCGACCCATGAGTGTTATGTATCGGGTACACAACATGGTGTAGGCTCAAACTGCTTACCGGTTCCCCCACACCTCATAGCCTATGCGTATTCACACACCTGGTGCTTCAGTTTTGCACACGAGCCTGAGATTTGTGATGCATTTTGTTACAGCAGATTGATGGACTTTCAACTAGCCCAGACTTGGTCTCAACACCGTAGTGCGGGCCTTTGGATGTCTCTGTCATTACTGCGTCCATCTGTCTGTGGGCGGACCATCCTCTTCTAGAAAACGCGAATATAGTCGTGAGTAGACAGCACTGCGGCGTATGTCGAAAAGGGTAGACTGGATGGCTGTTGGCACCCCTGCGCCACATTCGATATCTATTGTAATCGGTTGGCTCATTGCAGTATGAGAAAATCAAAGATGATAGTGCTGCCGATAATCAGTTGAATAATGAACTATGCAAGGAAGTGGTATAATTCAGATTACAGCGTTTTTTCCATTCATCACTGTTTGCTGATCGATAGCAATCTCGGGCTGTGAACTTCTTGCAACTTCCGCCTGGTCAACTGAACTGTGGGTCTCTCACGGTTTGCTCACAGGGTATTAGCCAATTCAAGTGGTCAAACCAATCCCTATACAATTTATATTTTCATCGATCTTCAGTTGGGTGTCTCTCGTGTTAGGTGTTATCGCAAAAGAGGACTCACTGTTAGAAACGTGTGAGCAAAGAAAGCCTTCGTATGAGGATTGTTATATCTCAACTCACGAATGTCTCCCTCAGAAACCAATATTTAGAAATCAATGCAATGTCCGTATTGACACTACTAAAGTCTTAACAGGCGATTTTGATGTATCCTATTTTGGAATCATAGTCACTACATTTGCTTCAGAGCACATTCTACCAATCCCAAAATCACCTGCAAATAATATTAAATGGTGCAATAAGTTCTGTCGAATACAACGTGAGGTTTGAGAGAAAATGTTTTTCTGGTAAGATCCCACTTTAAAATTTGAAATATAACACACTGATGTGCAGAGATACCGTGTAGAGTTATCAAAAACGGATTCAGCTATATCTCCGCGGGTTAATCGGAGAGAAGTGATTGCTTGGCTTAGACAGCTTTCACATTTCTGGCTTTGCCTAATGGTGGTCACTGCAACCGTTGCGAATGCGTTCCGACAGATGACCTTTGTGCCATTGGGTGCACTTCGTAAATCACGTTGAGCGATTCGACCGAATGGGCGCAGTGATTCCTATCGACTGAATGAGCCGTGATCGCGCTTCCCAAATTTCGATTTTGTGGTTTACGCTAGAAGATGGAAGTTGCTCGGTCATTTTCTGAAACAGGCACAGAGGCATTCGACCCACGTAATTCACAACTTATTTGTTAACGAAAAACAACGGAAGAGTCGCGAACTGGTACTTTGATTCTAGTGTCGGGCAAACGGTCACTGTGGATGTGAAATCTGAGCTGTGAGGTACAAAATATTCTACTTCGAGAACGGCTAAGCTTTCTTGTGACGGTTTCGGAAGCCCTTTAGCTTATGCATGATAGCCTGACGGAGACAATTTACAAACCAATTGGATTCCTCTTCATTTTGTACCCGTTTAGATGGCCCAGCACGAATTTGAATTTATTTGGGTACCCGTTTCCTTTCAGGGTACTGGAACTGTAAGTCAGTAAATCTTCACTTGTGCTATCCACACAAACTTAAAGGGCACTGTTTGCCAGATACTTAACTAAGTTTGGTTTATATCCACAAAGCTTTGAAACTTCGTATCCTAACTCGATAAAATGGGCGTCTTGGAGTAAGGGTTCTTTGATTATCAAGTTCAAAAGTTCACGTTCACTTTTACTCTTAAAAGTATCGGCCAGAGACGGGCGAATTGGAGATATCATTTCCATCGATCTCATCCGAAGATGAAGCGAGTGGACATGAACTTTGTTAGAGACACACCTCTAAAGCAATCCTTCACCAACTAAAGTAAGTAAGGTTATATTCGTTAGGCTGATGAAACCGCGGGTAAATTCATTAGTTTCGGTAGGAGTACTTGGGTAAAAAAGTACGAAATATCCTAGGAACTCGTCCTCTTGTTATTAGAATTCGCCTTGCACATGCAATCGACGAACTCCAACGGTCACTGTCGTTTCTGGTCAAGTCCAAGCACTTCCTTCGACCAACGAGCAGCTGCATGCTAAGGCGAAGTGCTCAAGTTGAGCATGGGGCGTAGTGGGCAGCCTAGTTTGTGCGTCTCTTGTAGCCCGTACACAACCATTTCCCTTGGTCGCAGCTTTTCGTTTTGGAAATTTGCTATGTCATTGCTGTTCATCAGCCGTTTTGAGCAATCCTTCCAAAACAATTGGGCGAAAACTGATCTATTAGTATACAGTTTGTGATAGTCATTCAGAGTATATATGCACTAATAACAGTTTTCACTCTGGTTGACAGTAGTTTGCAGTTACTATTTGAGTAGAAGATGGAAGTTGCTCGGTCATTTTCTGAAACAGGCACAGAGGCATTCGACCCACGTAATTCACAACTTATTTGTTAACGAAAAACAACGGAAGAGTCGCGAACTGGTACTTTGATTCTAGTGTCGGGCAAACGGTCACTGTGGACGTGAAATCTGAGCTGTGAGGTACAAAATATTCTACTTCGAGAACGGCTAAGCTTTCTTGTGACGGTTTCGGAAGCCCTTTAGCTTATGCATGATAGCCTGACGGAGACAATTTACAAACCAATTGGATTCCTCTTCATTTTGTACCCGTTTAGATGGCCCAGCACGAATTTGAATTTATTTGGGTACCCGTTTCCTTTCAGGGTACTGGAACTGTAAGTCAGTAAATCTTCACTTGTGCTATCCACACAAACTTAAAGGGCACTGTTTGCCAGATACTTAACTAAGTTTGGTTTATATCCACAAAGCTTTGAAACTTCGTATCCTAACTCGATAAAATGGGCGTCTTGGAGTAAGGGTTCTTTGATTATCAAGTTCAAAAGTTCACGTTCACTTTTACTCTTAAAAGTATCGGCCAGAGACGGGCGAATTGGAGATATCATTTCCATCGATCTCATCCGAAGATGAAGCGAGTGGACATGAACTTTGTTAGAGACACACCTCTAAAGCAATCCTTCACCAACTAAAGTAAGTAAGGTTATATTCGTTAGGCTGATGAAACCGCGGGTAAATTCATTAGTTTCGGTAGGAGTACTTGGGTAAAAAAGTACGAAATATCCTAGGAACTCGTCCTCTTGTTATTAGAATTCGCCTTGCACATGCAATCGACGAACTCCAACGGTCACTGTCGTTTCTGGTCAAGTCCAAGCACTTCCTTCGACCAACGAGCAGCTGCATGCTAAGGCGAAGTGCTCAAGTTGAGCATGGGGCGTAGTGGGCAGCCTAGTTTGTGCGTCTCTTGTAGCCCGTACACAACCATTTCCCTTGGTCGCAGCTTTTCGTTTTGGAAATTTGCTATGTCATTGCTGTTCATCAGCCGTTTTGAGCAATCCTTCCAAAACAATTGGGCGAAAACTGATCTATTAGTATACAGTTTGTGATAGTCATTCAGAGTATATATGCACTAATAACAGTTTTCACTCTGGTTGACAGTAGTTTGCAGTTACTATTTGAGCCATGTATAAAATAAATGCAATGCGAAAAGTGGAGTGAGTCAAAAGGGGACTTATCGTTTGTGAGAGTTCCTGGGTGAAAATGCGGATGGGAGCCGTGTTTTCTCCGCTACTACGCGTGTTCCGTTGTAATCCACGGACTTCTGGAGTTTGGTTGACTTCCCGTCCCCTGCGCGCGCGCATGTGTATGCGGCGACTGTGTTGTGCCCTCATATATATTGGAAGGTGTGTATAATACATAGAATCTTTCAGACGCGTACGAGACGGGAACTGACTCTTTGTCGGTCTAGGTTGCAAGCGGGACAGAGTTTTGTCACGTGATTCGTGCGTTTGCAGAACAGACGAGTCGCGTGATCTGGTGAGCACGGATGTACTAGACAAATTAGACGAAGTTGGTTGAAGCAACAAGGAAGTGACCGCTACAGAGCTAACGAACCGCGTTCCTCGCTAAGTATCATATAAGGAGGCCTTGAGAAACAATGCGTTTGGTGGTAAAAAAAATTATTTGCGCTGTAAGATCATGACAAGATTTTGTTTTTCCTCACTGCTTGAGTCTGAATGTTTGGTTGATTGTGGATTGACTTGACGACCGAACTCAGCGCTGTTTATCTGCAGAAAGTTGAACGAAGGCTATTAGGCACTACAAGCTAAGGATCAACTATAAATTGCAATCTTCAAACTCCACTTCACCAAGTATTGTGTTTATTATCGTGTTGCGATTCATGTGGCATTATGACCGAAGACGTAGCCAGAGGGGATTAGGCGCCAAAATATATCTGATCTAATTGCTTCGAAGTAGGTAGCTCTATACGTGAATGTATTTGAACACAGGCTCCACTTTCACGGCATTCCCTACTGTACTAGCTTGTTGGTATAAGCCATTCCACTTGGTGTTGTGCACCATGGTTCAAGTTGTTCGGTCCAAACCTAGTCCATTGTTTCATCTCAGAATCGGTCAATGTACTGCTGATTCAATGATGCTATCATTCGCCAGGATGCTTATCGTACTTGTTATCCCCAGATGCATTTTTGTGGCTCATCGCCCATCTTTGCAACTTCTACTCTACAAATATCATATAGCTGACCTAAGGTTAAAGGCGGACTAGCGATTTCATTTCGTTTTTAATCATTCTTGTTGCGATATACCACCCAGTCGCGCCCCGTTTGCACAGGACAATGCGTACACTTCGAGTGTGCCGCTGAACCAGTTAGAAAAGTAAAGGGAACAACGGTACGTAAAAGAGTGTATTAATCGTTCGAACGAACGAAGCCAATAGATGTTGGTTGTAATATTTTTACACAGCTCAGCGTTCGAATGGGGTAAAAAGGTCAAGCGTAGTCCGTTTACCGAGCAGCGGTGTCTCCACCGTTCACATGTTTCGCTGAGACAAACGCAAGCAGCTCTCAGTGTACCAACACTATTTTCTAGCATGACTGGAGATGTTCATGGCCGTGCGTCTCACAACTTTGGCAAACTTCTGTTCCATTTGCTGTTGTAGTATACGCTCTCGTTCTTCGTAGGACAGTTTCGATATGGCCTCCCATTGCTTCAGATTTGATTGAGCCGCATCTACGATGGCGCTTACTTGCGGGAAGACACGGACTATTGTGGAATAGCAGGGCAAACATATGGCGCGAATGAATCCAACCTAGAAAAACGAAAGAAGTAATTATCTAAAGATTAAATTCATGGCAAATCCGAAAAGCTATGAAACCCCAAAAGAGGACTTTTCGAACTTTTTAGGTGAATTTCAGAGTCATTTTTCATGCTGTTGGACGACTGTATTGAAGCTCTACGTGCACAATCATCTCCGTGAGGTATGAACACTTCGTATATGTGAAAAAATGGCTCAGATGACGAGAATTCATTCTTTAGTTGCAGGAAATCCTGCCGACGTTTTGAAGACCCTCAAACGGAAATTAAATGAGAGTTGTATTCCATCTGTATTATGGAAATACAATATTATCATCTGGCCATTTCATCACAATGATGCTGGGACACCCAGAAATATCCATTCCGTGGGTAGGTAACCGGAACGATCATCTCCTGGCTGTTAAAAAACGTATGAGACCGTTTATCGGTACCCTTATTCAGCAATCTCGCGGTATTTGTTAGTTCACCGAAATTACAAAGATAGATGTTGTGACTTGCCAAACGGTCGTGCAACTCTGTGTCGGCCCATGGCTTCCTGCGCCGCCCTCTATGGTAAATCAAAAGCTAGGGTAGCTTCAAACAGCCCCTTATAGAGACAAAGGAAGTTGATTATGACCATATTTATAGGTTCACCACACAAATCCGTGCTAGAATTTCCGTGAGGGGGGGGGGAAGAAGCGTGAAGATGCTCGATCCAGGTTAGCTGACCAATCAGGGCATGCCTTCGTTTGTTCCGTAGCCCGCATGTGACCCATCCGCCCAATGGACGTGGACAGTAGGTCATGCATGCAGGCTTACGTGATGAGCCCAATGAGGGACGAAACCGGTGGTGAGTTTCCAGCAGCCCCATAAGTAGTGTGTTACATCTCTTTCGTTTTTAAGTTGTCTTCGTGCACTCCGACGTGTGCTTTCTAAATTGGACCGAAAAGTCCTGCGTTAATGCAACGTAACCGGATCAATGACCCTTTTCATTTCAAAGTGACTTACTCGAATTCCGACCTCGGTGCATGTGGACAGTCACACTGCGGAACTGGAAGGTTCAGTGCACCGGTCAAGTCGCTCATCGCGCTTGAACACGGTGTGTGTGTGTGGCTGACGAACCAAGTCCTTGAATACATGGAAATTACAGGACTTCTCACAGTCCGCCTTGAAATGGCGTGGTAAGTGAATTGTGAACGTTTACTTTCCACATTATTTGTGCAAATAGGAGCATACCGCTTAACTGAAATTTACCACTTGTGTTCGAGAGAAATTAAATTTTGCATCTTGGTCCGTCCAAAGTCGGTGATCAATATTGCTCGCAGATTACCAACAGGGTTGTCTGCAAAGGCCCACCCATACCACACCCAACAAACAGTGGAGCTGGTAAATAGTAGCGTAACTGAGAAATAGAACCAAAAAGTATGACTTATTAAATGAATGCTGCAACCAAAACAATGATTCTTGTTTATACCTTTTAAGATCGTAGCTAGAAAGCATGTATGTTCTGCTTAGTGACCTTCGTGGGGGTGGCCTGCCAGTATCTGCTGAGGGTTATATATGACGTGCTTTCAGTCTTGTCAATCGCTGTTTAATTTCTCTTTAGTTCATCATCGCTACCCGTCCAACTAAAGTAACGCGAAGCCAGATCACTTACCTGGCCATCAGCCAATTGTACTGCTTCATCGCGGTCCATTAAGCTCAATGGTTTGTTAGCAGAAGCCTTTTCACGATCACCCTGCAAACAAACAACTAAAAGATCACTTCAAGTGAATTTACCAGTTACATAATAGGATAGCTTCCTTCACTTTATCTATATTCTATATTTACATTTTTATATCTACATATATTTACAACAAACAAAAACGAGGAAGCAAGCGTTCAGTTGAATAGTGATTAGGTTCACAGCAAAAGTGTGGCTGTGTCTGTTTTGCTTAGAGGTCATAATCTCAAGCGAATTCTGTCACTATTTAAAACAAAGACTTCTAGACTAGAACAGTCGATTCCGCACCTTTTATAAGCCCCAGATTGACATCAAAATAGCGCCCCTTTAAATCGAAATTCTGAGTTGCGGTTATCACTGCTTTTCGCACTTATTCAAAAGCGCAGATTCCATAAATATTTCCTTCGTTTGTCTGATGAACTGGGGCCGGATGTAAACAGTCGGAAAACTCGAGGAAGTCGTAACGAATCAGAACCATGTCTGAGGCTACGTGAATAAAAAAGCTATTTTGTCCGATTAAATACAAGCCCAGTATGTTAAGGGTGGACGAGACAGTGTGCAAGGAATTTTTCGAAAGGACTAGAGGCTGAAAACTGTGGAACTCTTTGCAGATTGGCAGGGAAGCTGTGGATGTCATTAACAAAGAACTCGTGGCTTATGCTCATCTGGGAGCTAGATGGGGTTTGAGGAGGCTTAGAGAGTGAAGGTCGGACTGCTCAGGCTTCTGAGTAGGGCGAATGACTCCACTCAGGTGTGCAAAGTAGTCAACAGAGTTAAAGACGATTGGGTTGCTGAAAATCCAAAGGCCTCTAATGTGTGGTGAGAAAATAAAGGCTGCAGCCTGGCATCTTGAAGAACACCAAAGTTATACGTTTTGACTTATAGCCAGCATCTATTGTGAGATATGTGTGATAATCAAATTGGGCCTACTGGGTATCACAAATGCATTCGAATAGTTCTTTGGGTTTCCTGTCCGATGCATTGTCACGCACCACTTTGGTGACAGTGTCTGGATTCTAAAAAGGTCTTGATAAGTGAAATACAGTAGGTCGTATCCCAGGCCAATTTTCATTGACCGATGATTTATTGTTTACAGAACACTCAAGAGGTAGGACATGCAGGTAATCCAGCGGTATTTTCTTTGAAACCGACCTCCAGCCATGCTCTCATTTAAAAATTGCGTAGCTCAGCCAGGTGAGTGGAAATAATGCCAAGCAAGCGGTGGAAATATCTGAGTTAGTTTCTTTCATAAGTTATTTTTCATTCAAATTTTCAAGAATTTTCGACCCCCCCTCCCCTCTGGACTGGTGTTTCATTCACCCTCAGGAAAAAATTTCATTGGGTTTAGACCTGGCGATAACGGTGAGTCTGTGACAATCTCGATGTGATAGGCAATCCACTCACCGTGCAACCCAGTCTCCTCGCAATAGCTTGATATGGAACTTGCCTCTGTCTAAGCTAATATTATCGAACCTGAATCGATTAAGAACTCTGGAAACAACGAGCACCCTCCTTGATGGAATATTTCTCATTGCATAATGTGGGGCTTTAAAGTATGGGAACTGAAAATGGGCTTGAACATTTCTGATGGACTTGTTGGTTGACAATCTGGACTGATTCCAGTTACCTACGCATCTGTTTTCCAAGCATTTCCCTACTGCTAACCCTGAACATCAAGTGAAAAAGGAAATAAGTCACCACTGACTGCATAAGTTTGGGTGGCACACTATCTGAATCACCGGGATTATGATCAGTGTCGGTTTACGCCAAATCGAGTAGGAGAACCAGTCGCGATTATCCAGCTGACTGGTTCGCAGCATGAAAAACACAAAAACCGACAACGCAGGAAACGTTTCCCGCTTCGAGTGTGAAACGCACAAGGTACTCGCAAGGAAAGAGAGATAAAAAAGGAATCCATAGAATCAAACTGGTCAAAATGCACTACAGTGACGCTGATTGATATGAAAGCAAAGCCGACGACTCCCGCAGTTGTCTATAACCAGATTAGACACTACTCAAGTGTTGATCGCTGAGTAAGAAATTTACCAGGTAATTGGATCAGTCAAAACAAAACCAAACGCCTTCACGGTGAACCGAGCGATTATGTGTACATCGCAAGCACAACACATCGACCACGGGATGAATGTCTTAGTTAATGGCGCGTAAAACGCACAAGCCCATGTCGGTCGGTAGCGCATACACCTGCCAGGCATAGTGTAGGATTTGGGAATGCATACTTATTTTAAGTTAGGTTGATTGCTGTGAACGTGAGTGCGTTTCCACTGATATCGTTCTGACAAGCAGTGGCATTATGGTACAGATGCCCATTGCTTTATCATCGTTAGATGGTTTCCCCAACCCGCAGTGGTAAAATATCCGCATAGCCACCACATCAGCTTCTAGGAACATGATCAGGATCATTTTAGTAGTCACTTCCGGTTGGCTTATTTGCATACACTCAAATGACAACGCGTAAAAAGTGAGGAGAAAGTTGCAAAAAAATTGCATCATTCTGGGTCTTAAGACAGTGAGTCTGAAGACAGTACGCAGTACGGTGGAGATACGCTAAGTTTTGTACCGTCATTCACGTTTTTAATCTTAACAACACCGTTCTCAATTACTAAACTTCCGTTATCTGCCTATTGGCCTCGCTGGGCCCGAGATAGCTCGGTCGCTAAGGCGTCAGCTCACGGACCGGAATGTGTCTGCATATACAAAATAAACAGAATAAATATGATCTGGAGGTTTGCATGCTGGTTGACAGATAATCCAAATACATACATAATATGTTCCTCGAATTCGGTCCATCTGAAAAGGAGCAACAAGGCCATAGATCTAGGTCAGAGCGCTGAACCCCTTTGTTGATGACCGGACTACTCAGACGAGGCTCTAATTTTATTGCTTCACCAGCTTCCGGGTGGCTCAAAACTGAAGATAGGAAAACCGACTATTGTGAAAACAATGCAAAAAAACTTCAGAGGAATCACCGCTGAAATTAGATCGCAGAATCCTGCTAGCTGACAACTGCTATTGCGTTGTTATTTTGTCGTTGGCAGTATACCATCGTCATTCAGCAGAAGTGAACAGTAGAAAGTGTTCGATAATCTTTTTCCGCAACTGGAGTAAATATAAAGTCGATATCATGAGTATTATGCTGAAGACCCACTCTTATCGTTGTGCGACACTGCAGTGGCTATTGACGGTATGACGAAATGTGCTGACGGTTGACGTGCTAAGCGCTTACGTATGTTACCGACGAGTAACCGATTAAGATATTAGCCGTAAACAGTTCCTGTCATGAAATTTGCCGACACTCGCACTCATGCCGTTACCTTTGCCCTTGGTACGGACCTAAAGGGTGTGCAACTGAAGTGCTATCGCAGAGCAAGAATAAATGCCTTAAAAACTACAGTACTAAGTTAAACACGGTTCACCTTTCCTAAAGACACCATCTACAGGGCTTACTGCTTGTAGGGATTCCTAAAATCCGGATATCTCTATGAACAAACTCTTTTGCATAGTAATTTCATCATACATGTATTCACTGTAACACCCTCTCAGTGCCCATCTACCTTGCCCCGCTAAGTTTTGTACCGTCATTCACGTTTTTAATCTTAACAACACCGTTCTCAATTACTAAACTTCCGTTATCTGCCTATTGGCCTCGCTGGGCCCGAGATAGCTCGGTCGCTAAGGCGTCAGCTCACGGACCGGAATGTGTCTGCATATACAAAATAAACAGAATAAATATGATCTGGAGGTTTGCATGCTGGTTGACAGATAATCCAAATACATACATAATATGTTCCTCGAATTCGGTCCATCTGAAAAGGAGCAACAAGGCCATAGATCTAGGTCAGAGCGCTGAACCCCTTTGTTGATGACCGGACTACTCAGACGAGGCTCTAATTTTATTGCTTCACCAGCTTCCGGGTGGCTCAAAACTGAAGATAGGAAAACCGACTATTGTGAAAACAATGCAAAAAAACTTCAGAGGAATCACCGCTGAAATTAGATCGCAGAATCCTGCTAGCTGACAACTGCTATTGCGTTGTTATTTTGTCGTTGGCAGTATACCATCGTCATTCAGCAGAAGTGAACAGTAGAAAGTGTTCGATAATCTTTTTCCGCAACTGGAGTAAATATAAAGTCGATATCATGAGTATTATGCTGAAGACCCACTCTTATCGTTGTGCGACACTGCAGTGGCTATTGACGGTATGACGAAATGTGCTGACGGTTGACGTGCTAAGCGCTTACGTATGTTACCGACGAGTAACCGATTAAGATATTAGCCGTAAACAGTTCCTGTCATGAAATTTGCCGACACTCGCACTCATGCCGTTACCTTTGCCCTTGGTACGGACCTAAAGGGTGTGCAACTGAAGTGCTATCGCAGAGCAAGAATAAATGCCTTAAAAACTACAGTACTAAGTTAAACACGGTTCACCTTTCCTAAAGACACCATCTACAGGGCTTACTGCTTGTAGGGATTCCTAAAATCCGGATATCTCTATGAACAAACTCTTTTGCATAGTAATTTCATCATACATGTATTCACTGTAACACCCTCTCAGTGCCCATCTACCTTGCCCCCCGAAGGAAGCACGAGGGCGGGTATACTGCCAGGTTACCCAATCCTAGACAGCATAACTCGAATTGCGGAGGTCGGGTTCGAACCACGGAACTTCAGGTCAGTAAATTGGCGCTTTGACCACTGAACCATCTCGGCCCAACGCAGTGGTGTATCAACATCTATTTGCATTCAATCCCTAGTGGACTGGTTTCATCGGATCCGATATTGTGCAACTGCATCAATCAGGTTGTAAAAATATGGCGTGATCATTCCTGTGGTGGAATACACAGGAATACTCATAAGGCTGCTGAAAACTCTTCGACACCCCACGACTAGTGTCGCACTTCTTCGAGTTCATCAGGTGGGTGTAGTTCCCGAGTTTCTATCGAACCTATATTCTGCTTGAATCCAAGCTATATTCTATTCGCGTTAAAATCCAAACAATTCATGTTCAATTTACACACTGTTCCGTTTTGATAAGCTTGATCAAATCAGGTTGTCCAAATATACCGAGTTGGAAATGTCTTCAATCTCAACATTTTTTTCTTGCTAATAGTAGACTGATGGATTTTTACAGCATAGGTAGAGGAATTTCAACACTAACTTGTTGCAATGTGACGTTTCTCTCAACATTTCAGTTGGTATGGGCGAAAAACTTTTCTGTTTAGATTACTGATTTCTAGACCACGTTCTACTCAGGGAAGTCAGAAAGAAATTGCGCATCCTCCGAATGAGCATGCTCTCAGGATCAATCTAGATTGCCTGATATTTTGTTGCATTCAGGAGTTATGCTCACTCTGGTCCGATCACTGGTATACTTTTCCAGAAGTTCTGGAGTTAATACAGTAGTCAGAATCCGTTGAACAGAACCCGGTAGAAACAGTACTGCGAAACGTTTGTGCGGCTGGTCGCTCAAGCCAGTGCGTTTGCAAAACGTGCGTCTTCATGTGACTGAACTTACTTCTCGGATTTCGGTTAGGTGGTTGGCGATGCGCGTACGCACCATGTTCTCCCCAGTGACACCAACTTGCCACTCCAACCAAAGGTTCAAGGGTGGCCTGTTAAACACTGATACTAACCTGGTTCCAAAATTCCTGCATGATTAACATGACCACTTTAACCTGTACGCCCCACGGCTTGAACATTGCACACAGATCACAGGTGGGCATTGCGATACTGACCACGCTCATCCTAGAATAAAAAGAGGGATATTCTGTCTTGTAGTCATCTTTCCATCTGTTAACAGAAACAGATCATAGCTACAAAAAAGCTGAAGACGTAAACATTCGTACTTATGGTCAGGGTACCACGCAATCCACCGGTAAATTTGGCGTGTGAAATGCAGCAGTGCAATTGTCGTAGGCTTCCAATTTTTTTACGTGCTATGCAGTCGAAGGAGTCTGTCTTATATGCGATATTGTGTCTAAGAGATGGAGTTTTAGAAAACTTTGAGTGGGAATACAAACAGGCATAGCCCAGACAAAATGACAAACGCCCTAAGACAGGGTAGAACAACCCTTCGCTAATCTAATCAACGCTGTTCCATATAATAAGTGGAATGCCATAAGAAGTCTATTTGCTTACACTTTTGAATGCAGAGATTGCCACCAGACGGAACTGATTATCTTCTCACCACCACCAACTTTCCCGAAAGTCTGTTTCATTTTCGGATGAGTACCACGAAATTATTCAGTGTGCAATTACGTATTCTGCTATAAAAATGGAAAAATTGGGGACTATTCTAACCTGGCGCACATCGGGTTGCTTTTGCGTTGCCTCCTCCTTCACTTTTAATTTGTATTGCACTCATGACATGTTCCGACGCCTATTCCAGGCTAAATTATTGACCCAACCTCGCCAAGTCCCCTCTAATGTAGAGACAGAGTTTACCACCAACACTTGGGGCATCAACAGCCTAGTCCTTCTGAGCTAACAGCACATCGATCAGCTGTCGATGGATGACTATCACTGCGCAATGACCTTACCGGTGTAACGGTGGATACTACTGATGAGGCATGCGAGTAGTGTTTTCTCGTAAATCCGCTTCGCGATTCTTGAAAAATGAGGTCTATTACGGAATTTGTGGAGTCGCTTTGTAGCATTTGTTTGCATTTGAGTAACAGTCAATAAGTATCCAAAGAAGTTCAGGAAGACGCTTCCAAGAAGAAGGTGTGTATTCAGTTTTGTAAACAAGATGCATATGAGGGCTTTGCTCCTCTGTGCAATAGTCTGTAACTGTTCAGTTGGTTTTTCTCTAATAAACTAATCCACAGCGAAGGCTTTCTGCCGTTAACCGGTAGTCTTTTGCCAATCTGCTCACCCTTTCCCAGGCGGATCCCCCGGAGAAAGCAGTACTACTGTCATTTTTTCGGGAGATAAGGGCGTTCTCCGCTAACATTAAATTCCAGACTTAAGAGTGAAAGCTTTTTGTCTGTCGTGGAACAAGCCGTAGATATTTTTTGTTAAATTTTGTGTCCGAGAAAAGTTTTCAGATGCGAATTTATTAGGTTTCCAACAAAAATTCCGCGATGATGCTGTTTTGCCGGTCATTGTTGTGTCACGAACGCATGAGTCTAGCGTACATACACAAACAAGGTGGCAACTTTTCGTAACTCGCTCATATGATTCACACCACTTCATTTACGCAGTGCATAACTACATGAACCGCGTTATCATACAGTCCACAACTGAGCAAGTACTGAGGTGTCTATACTTGGTCAACATTGACACCCCAAACCAGCAACGTCTTTCGTGCTGATCGTGGTGAATAATAAGGCTGGGAAAAAATGTGGGAAAAATCTTGGATTTCCCTTTCGGGAAGATTTGCTCAATAGTCAGCTAAACGGTCGGCTATATCTCCGCAAGATAAGCTGAATTTTCATAGTGCCATTCGACAAGTCCCCGGAAAATTTCCACTACAAAATCGGGCCTAATTCATCCGAACGGCGATGAAAGAACAATCTGTTTTTGTAGGGCGAAACACTGTTAAACATTCATGAAGCTTTGATGACCAAACGAATCGAAACTGTTTCCGAATTGCATTCAAAAAGGACTGAGACAGTAGTTGCGTCTATCCTGAGACACGTGGCCAGGTTGCACACAGCGCGCTTGTCAGTTAGAACTCCGATGTTGGATTCCAATTAATGACTGGTCTATTTTTTAATTACTTACCTATGCGACATGCATCGTGTTGATAAAGTCGTCCGAGATAGCGCAACCTGCCCTCTGGTTTGGTTTTCGTCCAATTTTACAAAGGATATCAAGTGTTTCACACCTCCGTAATCCACTATCAAGTCTAGAAGCATCGCTTTTATGTTGGGTTTCGGTGTGGAGAGAAAAATGCTTCTATCTCCCGTTGAGTCTTTGGCTTGAACAACTGATTAAGGTACACCACATACGTGTAGCCCATTCGAGTTTCAGTCGGTCTCTTATTTTCACGTGATTGATTTAACCAACGTCGGTGACTCTCTAAATGACCTACGGTAGCACCGCCAAAGGTTAGCAAGAAGTGAACTTCTCACCAACAGTGGCAACTATGTTCAAGTCATATATAACGCACAAGCCCTGTTAACCTTTACTGCGATGGACGAACGAACGCATCGCCCCGCCACACCAGCACACAAAGTGCAGGTATAGGACAAGTAACTTACTTTTATAAGACGGATTTCAAGGTGAGTAATAAGCCGGCCGGTGATCCGAGACCCACGTGCCTCTTTGGGCGCATGCATCATGAGTAAAAGATAAGGAATGCACAACCTGATAACTAAGGTAAGGGTCACACTCATTCTCCACAACCAACCGCATGAGGTTTCGATTAGAAAACACGCTCTCTATCGTACGCTTTAATTCAACCAAGCAATGAAGCCACTTACCAATGCTGGAGGAAGAATAATGCTTCCCTAAACCCACACACTCAGTCAACCACTAAACTGAAATATTGAAGGCACTCCTTTGACTTTAAACCCTCAAACAGCAGGATTTTGTTCTCCATGTGATTTAGACTGGATCAAGCAACAGCAGCAAATTAGACGTGGTGGATTTATACCGTAACTCCATTTCTCAGATCAGTCCACAAGCTACTGAGCAATTTATCTCGATTTTAACCGAAAGCCCTATTTTCATTATTATATCTGATGATGTACCTAAATAAACGTCCTTTTAGTCAGTTCGTAATAGTGAGGGATCTGCAAATTTTTTTATCCTTCCTGTAAGTGCTTGTCTTATGCCGAAAAGCGCAAATGCATGGCACAGCTCGTTTATCCTTGCTGGAAATCACCAGCAGTGCATGCCTGACGACCTCCCGAAGTAGAAGTTGAACATAAACCTTCTGACGGCGAGTGGCTGATCAGTTGTGTGAGTAACTAGCATTTATTTTCGTTCTTAGATGGAAGTAATTGCAACAGAAGTTGATAGATAACTTAAGACTCCACTTGCCTTGGCCCATGTACGCCTTCATATCTGGTTTGGTTTTGGTGGAGTTTCACCTTCTGGTAAACTGCTACTATATTGCAATGATTCTTGCGTGCATACCCTTACAGGCCAGTCAGAACTATGAACCTCTCATTCTCACTGTGAGCGACAGCTTATTTCCATGAAACTTGGCAGCAACTAATTCTATCTTGTGTTGATGTTTCACCCGCTTTTGTAAAGGTTGATATCCACTGTGAACAAGTGAAATCGATTGTACTGTGAGTACCGTATCATCTACGCTATCTTTCTCTTATAGTCTAGGCAAGTTAATCTGTGGCCCGAATAAGGAACCCTAAGTGGAAGGCAGATAGGGAATGAACGATATGGTCCTGAAATGAGACGATGTTTAAAGACCGCCAGAACACTGTCAAAATCGACGTGCATGGGATCAAACATTGTGAAATAAAATTTCCCCTTTTATATACATTTTGGGGAATTAAATCTGTGGAAGAGTTTAGTGAACAAACATAGTTGTTGGTCGTGTTCACTAGTACTTACAAAAATCACCTATGGGTCCGAGAATTATTGAGGCAAGCACTTCCATTAGTGGCTATTTAAAGTTTTCTGTGAATAATTGGTAGAAAGTCAAACCCTCGCGAATTATACGGATACAAATATCATTGTATCTAGCAAAAATATAAAATTAATAAAAACAGTAGTTACACTTGAACTCCATTTCAGATTATAATGTGAATGCTAGTTAGGGATCTATAAACGACCTATGACGACTGTCATTAGCTGCATGCGTAAACAAGATGTTTGGGAAATCATCTCCTTGGAAGCTTTGTTCATCATCATCATAATCAAGGACAGCAATACCAGTGTTGCCACTGATGCTTCACACCGACCCACAACCGACCCAGAAGTTACACTACTATAGAGAATACTGATGGCAAGTTTTTGTATTCATTATTGTTACGTTCAGTTACAGCTTTAGCTGTCGTTGACAAGCGATTCAACTAGTATATCCACGGAATACTCAGTCAATCAGCTACCACCAGGAGTTGTCCATAAACACCTATTGTTCAGTTCACAAAAATTAGAAGGCGAGATGGGTACAATACTAAGTCATTCGTTGTCCTAATTCTCTGAGACAGGGCTGCGAAAACCCCGAACGGGAAGAAAAGATCTTGAATAGAACATGTGACTAAAAGTCTTTAGAGGTCTCATCGGTAAGCACCGGAAACTGGTGCTGCGTGAAGGACTTATGATATCTCACGGATTATTTACAGACAAAATATTGGTCGGCTCGAATTACCAGAACAGCGTATGCACATGGCCAGTCTGCTGGAATTACTTCTTGTGAGATCGCATCTACTGAGACACAAAGGTAAGGCGCATTCTGGCATACATTTCCCTTTCGGTGTACACACTGACGTCACACCAGCCTCCCTGTACCATGCAAGGAATAGAGCATGCACAAACCTGAGCAATGACCTGATTAGCCTGATACGGATGGATGATTTGCATGGTGGACCAATCACCTCTGCCCTGAAAGCGGCGGATAATTGGATAAACCATCAAAATGTTCGTCAATCCACTTCTGTCCGTTCCGTAATTTAACTGTTGGTGAGTGGTGTTTACCCTTTTTCAGGATTGCGCTCCCTATTGGCCAAATTGCACATCTTCAACGGCTCCATCGATGTTCAAACATGGATCGAATGGGAATAAAGTCAAACAATTTTCTAGCGATCTTACGAACCGACTGTTTATTCGCCTAACTGAACAGACGTTCGGTCAACTTGGCACCAGTCAACCGGGCCAGTATCTCTGTTAGTCAGTCATCACCATGGGAATTCACATGACGCATGGCTACACACGCTGGCTGCGCTATTGTTTAGCAAAATGATCGAATCATCGGAGATTGTTTGCTTTGGAAGGTGGAACCTACTTCAACAGCTGAAGTTCAGCTGAATAAGTTAAAATGAAATTAGTTTGCAAATGAGTATAGTCCATCAACTATCCAATTTTAGTTGAACTAAAAACATAAGGTCGGCGAAACTCAGGGCCTGAACTTACCTGCTGAGTACCGGGTAGGACAAATCGGCCGTGAGCTGCCGAAGAGTTTTCAGCCAACCTATCATTACTGCTCCATCAGAAAATAGTCTTTAACCAGTTTGGATTTTCGAATTGCTTTGATTAGCGCAATTACAACCTGATGCCGTCGACCAGTAGGAAGCTAATTTTAGGCGTATGGAAAGTCTGCTCTTGTGGGGCCTTAGCTGCCGTTGAACCGGACATATACGGGAATCTCATTTTCAACGAGCCAGTTAATCACTCAATTACACACCATGAATCTACCGGTTGTTTTCAAAGTTCAACGATGACGGACAGTACACTCAAATACACAGCAACCATCTGAAGTCTTACATTTGAGTGGATCTGATATTAACCCTCACACTAGTGGTTGATCACCATTTCTACGGGAAAATGATCCGATCACCTTTTACCCAAGGTTGATCGACTATATACTCGTGTGTTTCTATATCAGGCTAGCGAACTTAACTGAAGAATAAGCGCACAGTCAGCACTTTGCAGTCCATGCTCATCGCTTTTGTGGACACAGAATAGATAGATGTTAATGTATTTACTAGGCACACTTGGCTCCACGTTGTATGCGTCATCGTCTCATCCAGCCGGCATGTGCGCTGTTCTTCTGATCTGCCCAGGTTGGCTGCATGATGAGTGTCCCAGTGTTCTGGGTCTCCTCGCTGATACAAACACAGTCATTGCGATTATAAAGCGTTGTCTTCATTCCCTGAGTTCGACCGCTTCCTAATCTCACATGAGTCCCCTCTCTGTTCCGAAATCGGAGAGCAAATATATGAACCACTTCTTTATACTTGGTTTCCCATGAGATGAAACAGCAAATGGACAGCACATGAGAGCAGCATAACTACCTCTTTTGGGGTTATTGTTCAAGTAGTTCATTTTTATTCTTTCAGCTAAGATTAAAGTGGTAATTGCCGTTTCTTACTTATCACCTTGTTTGGGCCGGCTGATGTCTCTCAATTCGTGTGTTTTCTCACCGAACTTTATCTATGAGGTTCATACTGCATTAGCTTACATATGGTTCCGCGCAACCGTTTGTGCTTTCCCAACTACACACGAGCTTCCAATAGTTCCAATAGTTCCCCCCGAAACTCTATAAGGTAGAATAGGCGAGATAAACCATAAAAGTTGATAGGAATGAAGAGGTGTGATTGAAATCGTGTCTGTTGTGCGCGACAATGTGTCCTAGTCAAGTACAATTGCCAAACATTTTTCGGTTTGTCTCAAGTTTAGGGTGTATTCGTGCTTGTGGAGAGGAAAGAATGCAGTGCAAATTACATTTGAATAAATGCAAACCTGTGGGCTTGATCATTCCACTCCAATCCAGAGGGAGAATCCAGGAGTTCGTCCAGCTTCGCTTTCGAGGCCCAAAAGGTTGCCAGATCCGTCGCTAAAATCGCGTGTTTGATTATTCCAAGCAGCTGTAGTATGCAAAAAAGCAGTCAGTGGCTAAATACTTTAGCCAAAACGCACTCTAGGCGCCTACTACCCATGAACACGTGAGAGGACAGAGATGGGAAATGTAGATAACTTAAAATTCCCATTCATTGCTTTTGTCTGCCCATCGATGTAAATTACTGGGTCATCTATGAATTTTTTTAAGCTTAGGTTATTCAAGCCTGAGAGCACTATCAATCTGGCTTTTTTGTTCGCTAGAATCAGAACTTGCCATACAACAACTTCAATATTTAACTGGACCGCAGATCGGTCATTAATAGCCCAAAGCTCTATAGGTCCGATGGAATAGCACAGCTACAAAGAAAAGCCATTGGGAAGAATCATATAGCCCCTTAACCATGGGTAGCGTATTTTTCACTTGGCGTCAACAGGGAATCCTAGGGTAGCAGTGCAAAATCAGGTTGTGCAGTATGTGCATAAACGGTATGTATGGATTATCAGGTATTTTAGGAAATATCTGGTCGGATTTCAAGATGTTTTTCGTTCAATTTAAGCTTATAGGTGTTACTCAGGGAATCCTTGAGTGAGCAGCTTCAAACTCCTAGACTGCGCATTAATCCTTCATTGACAAGCCGACTGTTCACTAGCAGTCGGTGCCTGAATAGCTGGACAAGCAGTGTGACCAAGAATCACTCATATTGCCAACCTGCTGTCCTATGTTCACACACTGACATGACTGAGTGTGAATACACTAGTTTAGGAACGCTACTTCTAGGGCTTATTCTACCTTCCTCAGCGAATTAGTCAAGCCATGGGTAAACTCAGCGACAAACTATGTTCAGAAAGGAGAATCGGTGGTGCAGTTTACTCATACCCAGCAGCAACCGAAAGCATCAAAATGTCTTAAACGATCCTATTGTCCAAGTCATCTTAGATTAAATTTGAAATGCTTTCAAGATCTACAGTAGCTCAAACTACTTTCGCACTGGGAAGGTTTTCATCATATGCAAGATGAATGAAAAAAGGTGGAGGGTATCAACTCAGTCTAAAAACGTTTAAATTTAACTTACATTTCGATACGAAGCGTTCCTGAAGTACCGAAAAATATTGTGATCCCGTTGCTGTGGTATACGAGAATAGAGGTAATCAGATTAACGCAGTGTTCGTGTAATGCTAATGCACGTTGTTTGAAGCAGTGCACAACCATTCAATCATTTCAGACCAAAAAAATGACACCTAAAAATAATGGACCGATCATAGCACCCTTTCAGTGCCTAGCTACCACGCCACCCGAATAAAGCACAAAAGCTAAGATACTGCCAAGTTGTCTAAGCCTAGACAGGGGTAGTCTAGAGGTAGATGTTGGGTTTCGACTCACGGACCTTACATTCACTAGGTTCACGCGTTAGCTAGCAATCTATCTGGAGCTCCGAAAAAAGAGGTTGTATTATGTTGTACAAAGAAAGATTCGTGTCGATACCGAGGCAGTGTTGCTTATTGAGGAAATGCTCAACTCCAACTGGATCAAAACATATTTTAGTGTTTTCTTCCTAAGGTTTGTTGGGAACTGCATAGAAAACAGACCTCGCACAAGTAGGTGTAATCCTTTCATGGGTCATATTCTAGGGAATCTAGCCGCTCCCAGCAATGCGACATTTTTTTTTCTCCAAGCGAGCCTACCAAAGCCCGATGATAACTTTGTTTGGTCGGTGAGTGACTGGTTTAGCGACAATTAAATAACTGAGTAGGGTTGCATTTGCTCTTGGTAATTGCTCAAGAATGGAAATGTTTGAAAAAAATCTAGCAGGTGAATTTATCACTGCTACGAGGATATAACTTCTAATAGATTGACTATGGGAAATGAAACGTGTTGGGTCTGTTGCGCACAGAGTAAACAGAGTGCAGTTTATGCTTAATATGGTGTAGCTGTTCAAGCTGACAAATGCAGTTCTTCTTCGCATTTACCACAAAAGTCTGTCTTGAGAAGTGACTCTCCAAGTGCTATTTCAGTCAGAGTCGGTTGATCTCATGACTTCATTCTTTACTTACTCACGAACTCTTGGGAGTAAACAGAGTGGCGATCGGAGGCACGGGCTTTGGGTAGTTGGTGGGTTTGTGTACATCAAATAAGTTGATGACAACTGGAAATATAATCTTTTGTGTAAATCTTGACGAAGTATCTACACGGGCACACAATGAGCAGTTTGCAAACACCTGTGATGCCGTGGCTTATTGTACTCCAATCGTTCCTAAGGGGAGAGGTATGCCTGGTTCGGATGTATGATTGCCTGTTGCTGAATAACCAACCAACAAGGACATTGTGACAGATATTCTTTAAGTAGAGATTCAAATGTGTTACAAGAGAAGGCATCGATTTTGAGGGAATACATTATTCATGGGGTTATTGAATGCTCTTCAGGGCTCATCAGGTGGGCGGAGTCCTCAAGTTTACGGTAAACGTTCGTCGGACTCAATACATGATTTAAACTCATGCCCAAACAAAATTGGTCATAACGGGAGACCCAACTGGATTCAAGCTGAAACTCTGGTTTGTGTCATTATTTACCTTAATGGGCCGGTTCCATGCACACAAGTTTTTACGAGTCCATACAAGTCCCGAATTGAACGATCAGCGTCAAAAATGATTTTTTCGAATATGGATGAAAAGAACGCCTGAACCAGGTGGCAGTCAAGTGAACAACCCCAATGGCGATTTCGAATCTTGTGCTCGGAGCCATCACCTTCAACAAAATCATGAACAGTGAAATTGGAACCTCAGGCAGTTTCAGAACTGTATGATAGCGTTCTCTCTCAAAAACTTGCAACCTTTTGGTCCCGAGAAAACTGCGTTTGATGCATTCAATGATGAAGATGATTTCTCAATCACTGACTTCTTCTGACTTATTCGCCTCCACGATCATGCTGTTCTGGTTTCTCATAAACCGCATAATGCTGTATCTGAAAATACCCCTAACCATTCAAGGAAAGTCATTGGAGTCTATGAAAGGTGTATTCTTCTGTGTAACTGTCGTATTTAGGTACGATAGATGGAGCTTACGCAATAGCCTGAAATGACCAGTATTCAAGTTGCCAATTTGCAATCTTTGTGATGTGTATCAAACTACATTAAGAGCTGTACGACTGTGCGGCTGCAAGACCTGGGTCTTGTGCGAATGAGCTGGCTCGGGGAGACCAGTATCGCTGGTGCGTTAGATGTGTCAAGGGGGGACTTCATCCGACAAATCAAGCTGCAAAATCAGTCATGTTCTAACGCCGGAACGTTGTCACTTAAGAAGAGCACTGTTTTTTGTGCTTAATTCAGAAACGCCTAGAACCCGAAAGCAGGAAAAGTATGTTCAAAATTTTGCAGATGTCGGTGCGATCGGACCAGAGGATGTGACACAAGTGACACTCTCCATGCTCTGCTACGAACTGATTTTAATGACGTTCATTCTGTGAGTTTCCGTCCAAACTGCCTGACTGACAGATGCTGGGGATACCGATAAGTTTGCTGTCGTAGAGCAGGTGAAAATAAACTTCTCGCCTTTTGTATCCTGTCTTCTTGCAACGCTCTGTCCGGAACAGCTGACATGCCAGTAGGAAGTGTCGGGTTTCTTGGTCGACTTCGCTGTCATTGCTGGAACAACGGCCACCTGATCAACCACCGTCAAACAGACGATGATATCCCCCCTTTGGAAAATAAACCTCTTGAAGACAGATTCTCCTTTTATGCACTGTTGCCGTCTCAAGCAAACTACAGCATATCACTCGTCTCATCTGTGATCAGCCCGGCAGCTGACGATGAGTCACACAATCGGTCGGTTGCATGAGTGCATATACTTGTGTGATTTGTTTCAGCAGTTTATAACCCACCATCCTTGTTTCAAGTCATTTATCACTGGCTAATAACCGTTTCCGGCTTTCGTGTTACATTATTCCCGACAGCGTCCCTTATTAAACAAAATGCTTTGAGTTTTGCGTGATCTCAGCGACATGCAAGTAGAGAAGAGAGCAATTGTATTTTTATAACCCATGGGAGTTCAATTCGTTTTGCTTGTGTAAATTTGTCCGATAAGACGAAGCGTTTATCCTTGGAACTTACCTGTAAGATGGTAATCGTCATGTTGAAGTGATGGTGCTCCATGGGTGAAGAACTGTATAAAGAGGCCAGAGGTGAAGAGTATTTCTTCATAAACCTATTATCGTAGCCCCGATGATCCAGGTCATGGCAGATTGCGGCTACAAATAGACAAACTCTCTGGAAAGGATGGGAAAACCACAAGGAGCTCGTTAGCAGCCACCTGATAAATCAACTGCAACCCTCGCAGAAAGTCATGCGATCTTGAATAAACGTTTGAACCAAAAACGATTTCTCCAATAAACCTCTAAAATCTGACTTCAGATTATTCTGCTCATCTAGTCTTCAAGTGTTAGTCACTGAAACAATTCTCGTCGGTCTCCTTTTCAGCTTCTGTCTTTTCCAGTTGGTGTCGAACCCGTTTCTTGGATTATGAAACTAGACTGTCTTATAAGTGCGAAAAACTACTGTCTGCAGGACAAAACAGTTAATACGGCAAAAAACGAAAGGTGTTGTAAACTTATATGTTGGCTGACCTTACTTGCGATACTGGCCAGGGATTAACAGTCCAAGGTCTGTAGGCTTATTTCAACCCATGAGTTTACCCAATTCAGCCTAGTTCACTTTAGTTCCCGACACGAAGAAATGACCCTGAACGTTACTCACGTGCTTCACAAAATTCTCCTTTTCAAGAAAACAAGTATCATTCAAAGCGCCTTGTGCTTCCGAAGTCTAAGCAAAATATCTTGCTCGTTGACATTTCGTTTGATTGTAACGAAACGAACACCACGTACTTCGACAAAGCCTCACAAATGAGCACAGCTACGACGTTATGTTAACCAGTAATATCGTGCCTAAAAGCTAATGCGATCGTTTAAACTTATGAGATACCACTCGATTTTGCATAGTACATTTCTTTAGAGGAGGAGGACCCCACAGATTTCATATTAGGGCCAACAGCCAAAATTCCAAAACCTCCGGAGACAAACAGAAAATGTTGATCAAAGTCTTCACCTGACTGTCCGATAATGACCACCTTTTTAAAAAAATCGAGAACCACAAACATTATTTGGCTTGGCACTCTTTTTTTGTTTAACAACTGTGGGCCAGTAAGTTCAAAAAGCAAGTTTGTCTGTAGTAAATATCTCCGACTCGCATTCCCGATACTACCAAATTAGACTGAAAACGTAATATGGTTGCAAGGAGACCTATATTTGATTTGTACTACGGCAAATTGTGAGACGCAACTAGGAGTCTGTTCTTTGCGGCGCCCATTATAGTTTTGCTAGACAGCGCTAGGAAAGCTCGGTAAAATAAGGGGAGCTCGTCTGTGGGGCTGGTCAGCTGATTAGCCCATGTTTCTTGGCGAACACGTCATGGAAAATAAGGATCCCCTGTCCGAAAATATTAAGTAAAGAACGTTCAGCTCGGCCGAAAAAATGTCGCACCACACTTCTGACCAAGCGTTAGGCTGTTAACCGTCATCATCATTAAAGATACGGTATCACCATACACCGAAGAACCCACAAGACATTTCGCTTGCTGTTTCTTTGACATATTTTCGAAGATCATGTGTAATTTTGTTCAAGCATTCTTGAATCACAGAGATGAATGTAAAGAATATTATTCGAATCCAATAACTTAGGATATCCACAAGGAAAACCCTAAGTTTCTTGTGAACAGATCCTGTCAAATCATATTTAGGTATGAACAAACGATCCCCAGTCCAATCAGTATGCGCAGAATTACTTTCCCAGATTTTCTCCCAGGTCCACCGAGTATATCGAGCGACCGAGCTCACTTATTTTATTGTACATCAAATTCGCCAAACTTCCACCAGTTCCGAAGTACCTTGCCCACTGAATGAATCTCCATTTTATTGGAAATTTACCGTCTTCAACTCCTTTTGAAATGGTTGACGCCAATTATTAAAAGAAAAATGAACGTGAGAGATCAACTCATCTTACCTCTATCGGGACAAAGCGGTGTTCGCTAACCTTCAGGAGAAAATACATTGAATGGGCGACTGAGAAAGCATGATCCCAATTGTGGTACGAGATTGGACGGTAATTCTTCCTCACCGTTAGCATGAATCGAATTAGCGTCATCTTATCGATTCTGGATTTATGGGAATGCAAAAGGGAGAGATTTTAACGTTTTCAGGACAGCTGCCTTTTTCCGACCTGGAATATCCATTCATAAGATTAAAATCAGAACAAGAAACTGACGTTTACTCACATTAACCTGCCCGCAAGATCATACATCATATAGACAACCGCTGGTATTTCTTGTTCTTCAGGAACATCCCAAGGTGAGAAGTCGTATCTGAAAATTGATAAGGGCAGCCAATCAACGCTTGATCATGGGATTTTAATTCTGTGATTCAAAGGTGAGTAGCTCTATGACCTGTTTAATTTTGCATTAGTCACACTGGTGATCAGCCGCGTACAGCCGAACGGCTTGGTATTCAATTACTGATCGGGACGTTGAGTGTTTCAGTCTCCCTGAAGGTTCGTGATATCCGAAAAGCTGGTGATTCCAGACAAAACTTAAACAGTTGTGCAGTGTTTTTCGGTCCTTCACTATAAATTTGCTTCATTTACAAAATGAAAGATGGATCAAGAAACAAAAAAGTCAACTTGTAGTGTTAGAGCTTTGTATGAAGAACACGAACAGCTAACCTCATAGGGTGGAGATGCTCACTAAAACTCACTGAGTTATGCCGGGGATGTTGTCAGGGATGTTGCACGGTAGAACGGCAGCGACATCGGCTTCAGTGACACAGTTATGGTAGGTAAGCACTTCTAACGCTACCCGATATTTTTTATCGGAACGATAGATCCGGTCGTACATCTACACAATGAGAACGCGATAACACACATGAAACTCTTACTATGTTGTTTTTGCAAATCCATGATAAAGTTGGTACCAGGACACGGTAAAAGAATACTGCTCACGTTGATGCATTGATTTTAAACAAGATGAGACTTTGAAAATAAAAGCTAGGCTGTGTCCAGCGTGTTGTTCCAAACCCAAACAAACAACATGTCAGTGGCAAAAGTGTCTTCGTTAGCAAAGCTGGAATGCGAAAAGTGCACTGTTCTTTTGTAGCACCTTGTCGACACACTGTCACTGTGTCATCTGAAGGAATCTCAAGCCAGACAGGAGCAATTCCCAAATTAGGGTACATTTCTACGTACCTCGAGGTCAGTAGTATGTAGCTTAACGAAAGAACTATCTAAACTGGTTCAAAGGATCGCTGTATCAAAGGTACAATATCGTAATCAACCCTTAAATGTGCCATCGGAGTTCACGGAAGACACATATTGCCTGTAAACGATAGTGTCACTGATTTAGAGTGATCCGTGATCCAGTTAAATCTGCCACAATCCAAAAGAAGCCACAACCAAAAGAATCCGGATTTTCTCTGTTTCCCACAGCTGAACTCCCAACAAGTCGCGGGAATAAGTCCTCTTCGCAGGAGATATTTTAGTGTATCCTAAAATACTTTATCTAGACGCCCGTAGCAAAAGGTGCGGACCTCACAATCAGTGGCGAGGAACTGTTAAAATATTTCCAAGACGGATCACACCTTTGACCGTAATAATCTTCCTATGTAACTGCCACCCGAGATTAATGGCTTTATAAAACGTGCCAACCAGACAAAGCCCAGCAACAGTCCACGCGTTAACGGACTGACTGAATTCACTCGCTTACCCTGGAAATGACCACACCCCACCCTCCAACCAAACAATCTGGCATCCGGCACCCACGCTTAATCGCTACACTTTTCACGACGTTGGCAGTAACATAAGTACTGCGGGCTCGAACTACACCTTGTACTTTGAATTTCAGACGGAATAACTGAACTATACGATCACCACTGTTAGTTTAGTCAAGTTCTTTTAGCATGCCATTCACTAGGTTATTGGGTTGAACCGAAATAAAATAGGCATGTCAAACATGCGCAGTGGACTTTCATTAATAAAGGAAAAGTATAGCATTAACCGAAAGTTAGTGTGGCAGATTCCAGTGTAGAAAAACCAGCATGTCGTACTACGGAATCCAAAGCAACTTTCGACAAAACAGTAGTTACCAAATGCGCAGTACCATTTACCACAGAAAGGTAGACTGGAGCCCCCACGCAACTAGCAACTAATCCTCACGGAATTTTCGGAAAATAACTAGGAACAAGCCTTTTTAAATCTTAGCCTGCTGGCAATAAACGATGTCAAGCAAGTAACACACATACATATAGAGATCGACCGACGATTAGTCGAAGATTCAAGAAACACACGTTTTGATATTCGAAATTCTCAAAACTTCCTGCATTTTCACGTTTGGACATGTTAGCTAATAATAGTATGAGAACCACTAATTCAGCGCATCAAAAAGGATATAAGCAACAAATTCCCATACAATGACGGACGCTTCTATCTTTCCAAATGGTGTAATATAACAAGAGGCCTTTCTCGGACACAACATACTGCGACTCACGCGAGCCACATTGATCGCAAGTGTACAGTATATGGAGTATGCTACAAGGAATTCTTCGTCGTCTTGAGTGAATAAACCCTGATGTTTGTTCAACATCTCGATAACGCCGACAACTCTAAAATAAAGAAAATTAGAAACTAAATCGAAATCTGCTCATGAAAAACAGGACCAACCAGTACAGCATAGATCAGTGAAGAATAGGTTTTACCTATTCCATGAAAGCTATATTTCAGATGTGATTGGTTGTGATTCGTAAATCAATCGCCCTTTCACTGATGCTGCAAAACATTGGAATCTGAGGTGGTTTAAACAGTTGTTGGCCCGTTTCTTGAACCCAGTATTTGGTTTTCAGATTAATACGGAAGCTCGGCGGGCAGAAGGAACCGATGTTTATCACACGCACATAGTATACTAGTGCTTGTATTTTGCATGAGTCCGGGAACGATCACAAGTAGATTGAGGCAACTGCGTGCAAGGCATGTTACCCCAGTTTCATAGAATATTTTGCCAGGGCAAAGCAGTACCGGTTTGCAGTCAGAACCTCATCCTTCAAACGACGTCAGTCCATTATGGAATGTCCGGAAACACTGGATAGCTGTTTTACGGCTGGCGAGAATCAGTAGCAGCATGTATCTTTACGGCTACCTGCAAGAGTGAGAACTTCAAAGTCTGTACTACTAACCGAAGACTATTGGTAATCTGCTCAAATGGGAAAAATCCCACAGTTCGCACGATATTCGAGGTCGCTGTTTGAGGAGGAAATCAAAACCGCATCACGTGACTTAAATTGTATGACTAAAGGATAGCCGAGCGTCACCGTCCTGGTACAAATTAAACACAATAGTGATCAACTGCTGGTGGCTGGACCGGAGGTCCGCGCTTTCAACTCTCCTTGGCGAGTGGTTAGACAAGCATTGTTGATAAGTGTCAACATGGACAAAACGGATGTACAGTGATACTCTGCTTTTCAAAATAAAACGACATTACTTTTGGGATGACGAATCGGCTGAAAATCCGTCATCTTTGCTCAGCGAAAGAAACATTCATTTGCCGATGCATCGGTACAATCTTTGGGTGGAAAAGCTAACTCGTTTTTAGTTACTTCCATAGGGTTGGTGTCTCAGTGGCTCGTAGAAGTGGCTGCACTCGACATCTTGCGTGATACACTCACTTGCTACATGTTGTGCAGTTGATCCAGTCATATTATCTCAAAAAGCCTGCACCTTTCACATACTAGTTACTCCACCACTTCAATGAACAGGTTAATACACAGCCATCATGCGAAATTGTCTTAGCCGTATTATGGTGACCAATAAGCAAATAATATAAGGCAGGGATCAGCACTTTTGGCGGCTCTGAATACTGAATGACTTTTGCTTACAGACCAACCGATTGATGAAAAAATCCACTCATTTTTCCATATTTTGACTAGATCACGAAGGTTTCACAGATTCATGAGGTCCCCTTTATGCATCTTAATACATGTGTAAAAAATTAAAGAAGTGAAACCTAATGTTGCGGGCTGTTGGGTGCTCATTCGAGGATAGTTGGATATGGCCAACAGACTACGGAACTATCTTGGTTAATACAGCGGGGTTATCTTTTATTGATGCCTAGACGTCAGCATTCTCACCCACCATTATTGGTGAACAAAGAACCGCGGAAACTTGAAAGACTGGCGCATTGCTAAAGCAGCTGCATCGTAGATTGAGGTCGATCACAAGATCACACATTCACCTCAGTCACTTGCGGACAAAATCTGATGGAGACACTTTAACAGTAAGTTTTGTGGAAAAGATAAACTTGAGTTCTTTCGATACTATAGTTTGTTTTTGGAAACTAACTTTTGGAGTTCAAGCATACGGCATCAATTTTTACGGCAAAATTTACATGGGATTACGATAGGCAGGTTACTCGAACGCCCAAATTGCAATACAAAACCAATGTTGTGTCTCACTGTTTTCCATCCGCCAACGGCACCGCAAGTACTGATTTGGTAATGCGCTGGGTGCCTTCGTCCACTTTCGCGTAAAACCTCGGATCTTTATAGGCATCAGCAATCCGAATCGGCTGGCCCGTACGAGCAACATAACCCACGATCCCTTGACTCAGGGGCAATCTGGAAAATAACCGAAATGCTGCTCACGACGATATTAACAAGTGTTCCACACCACGAGTAAATTTTTTCACAGCCTTGCTGGAAACTGAAATTAGTTTTGTTGCTGTTAATGATGACTGTGCTGTTACCGATCACATCTACGGCTGCACTAATCATCAACACAAATAAAGTCACCACAAAAATGCAACTGTTTGAGGTAAAGGGAAACTTATTGAAAACAATTGAAGAAGGCATCCATTCTCAAACTGAGCTCCTTTGAGGGTTCACGACTACATGTGGTGCTGGCTCATTAATCCATTTCAAAGATGCTTAAGATGCGAAAGTTTCCGGTTTTAAGTAGCCCGCATACAAACTGATGACAAAGGAAAGTGATGGAGACCATACCGATCTGACTGATGCTAAATGATTCCGTTCGTTTCCTCAACTTTGAACTGTGTGCAAGCGTACACTAGTCCAGGTGTTGAAAATATTTCGATGCCACCAGTGTAAAACAGATGGTAGATCGTTAAGCCGCACTGAAGCAGGCGAAATGAATCCATGGTGCTTCTATAATTTCTCGTACGATTCACAGTGAAATGCTACTACTGAGTTTCTTCTCGTCCAATTTACTGCGCTTCATCATATATCCACTCAACCGTTGATCAATTTAAAGTAAATGATTACCTCAGCAAGTTCTCAAGAACAGCAATAACCACCTGCTGCTGATTTATTCAGACAACTATCAGAATAGTAGATTATCGTAGCAGAAGCGCCATCGCTGTATAAGGATAACACTGAGGTAGGCCATTATAGTCCAATAATATAACATATCCGTTCCAACTTCATGGTCAGTTACTCGTTCGGTCCGCCACTAGTATGCATAATTATTTAGCAGTGATCAGTTTAGCTGAATGCGTTTGTAGCATTCCCTATCAAGAATCACACTTCGTTTCAGTGGCGGGGGGTGATATAGAGGATGGTAGAAAATAAACATTAAACAAACGCCGTTTAAGGGGTTCCATATAATTCCAACTATAAAGGCCATATAAAAATGAGGGTCCTCTTATGGCCAAACTTTCCCGAATTGACAATACCACTCTGCCAAAAATGCTCTAAATGTTCCTGTGTACGGAAGCCACGACTGTCTAGGGAGCCAAGTAGACGCCAAACTGACAATAGATCATCTGCAAATTTTAATCAGTCTTTCCGTTTTACCAGTCAACTGGACCCCAGTCACCCGCGTAATCCACGGTTTCCTGTGGCAGGCAGTTTTCATGTTATATCGTAGAAAGCTTAAAATTATCACATATTGCAAAACTAAAAAATCACCGTATTTCATTTGTCTCATCCTGTACAAAGACGGCAGAATTGACGTCGCCAATATCCAGTATACTGGAGTAGAGTTCGTTTTTCTTATGATCCACCAGGAACAAAGTAACACGCTCCGCTCTGACCAGCACTTTGGCGTGTTCCTGTAATCACAGAATAGAAGAGTCGGGAACCGTTACTACGAGTCAGACTTCCGTATGATGTTTGTCTCATCCGGCAGGGTCAAACTGATCCCATGCCTAAACCTAACACTTAGGAAGTTTAATTCATCAATACATCCAGGCAAGCTAATAAAAAGTCTCCAGGCTACTTGTATACAAAGAGGAGCAGAGGAACTGTTAAGGGGTTCTAAAATCTACTTATTAGTTTGCAGGCACATGGTTGCTAAACAATTATTCTGGTAGTTTACTGGGCCTGAAACAGGCTGTGAACCCTCAGCAATTAGGATCATTAAGTCTACATGAAGGATGCTTGACAACTCGAAACAGGTCTCCCAATAGTAATGAGAAAGAGCTTTCAGTTGAAGACCAAAACCTAAGAGAATTTCAGAAAATGATCATTCTTCATATAAACCCCACTTATCAAAGGTTTCTTTCACTGTCGGTGATGGGAGGTGGAACATTCGGACCTAACAGGCTCGCTGATGCCATTTGTCTATCTATACTGTTAAAATTAACTTTTATAAGTGTCCGCTAAAAAGCTTTCTTCTGGCCGGGGACTTCTAATTACTGAACATCATTCGCGGTAGTCTGTGTCAACTTCTCCGTCATTATTGTTCAGTTGTACCCACCACTTCAGTGGATTAGGAATGGCAGAAGATGGTACTTAAGTGGGCTCGTTTCTCCACTTAGTTGGTGCTATCTAGACATACCTGCCTTCCACTTGCATGTAACGCCACATTCCAGAGCTGAAAGGTTTATCTCAAGGGAGATTTAAACAAAATTCAGTCAACGTCAGCATGAATAGCCATAAGTTAGCACTAGATTGCAGCATCAGACTGCAATCAGTGTGATTGACGCGTTCGTTCCAACACAGATCCAGTACATATACGTTAGCCGGGCCGTTCAGCTGAAAATTGGCTCTATGTTTGCCACTGAGACCCTCTATTTCGTAATGGGTCTTCAGTCGCTTGTGATGAAAACCACGCATACTGCAGCCAAGGACAATATGAGTTCTCAGGGCGCCACTCAATAGTAGATGGTTTCATTTTTTATCACCAAGTTATGATCGTCCTAGCAAATCTTTCTACTGAAACAATAGTCAGGGGTGAAAAATACTTCATTTGTGGTACGGTGAGTAGGCATAACTTGTACATATCCCAGCCAGAATAGATCGGCAAGCCTTGTCTACCACCCTAGCGATTACAAGTGATTATCATTGGAATAAGGGCTGAAAACCGTTCCAAAACATTGCTTTGAATAGCTTACAATTGAGCTACAGGTACACTGACGTATACTATCCAAGTGGACCGACTAACCAAACAGCTTCCCATCATGAAGACAGAATCGCGATTTAGATAATATTCTCCCTTCACAATATCCAAGGACGAGTGTGAAGTTTTCATTCGAAGATGGCATTTTCATCACGTCGAAACCATTCCGTCAAAAATCGTTGATGGATTGCAAAACGGAGGAGCAACCCCTTTAAAATGCTCTTGCTCTGGATATTTATGACCAGTAGGAAAGTAACCATCGAGTCTGATGGTTTTTAGAGTTTATATTCATAGGATTTTCCAGAAACAGTACCCAGTCTTTCGATTTAGTCCCTATCATTATTCTATCTAGCTTCGTAAGGTTGCTGATTTAAACTATCTTTAACAGCCTGCTTGATGAATGTATAGATTGATATATTCCTACTTTGTCGTCTTTTTTAAATGAAATTTTCAGTTGTATCAACTTACTCACCATTATCACCTTGATAACGTTGTCCATATTCTTCACTTTGGTAAACAGGTTCCTGGTTGGATGTAAAGTGTTAGTCGAAACAACATCACTCACCGAATGACCTCCAGGATGAAATCGCCAAGTGCCTGGGCTTTTTGTGAAGCCATCAGTCTCTGAACAAAAAGCAGTGGAAGACCAACATCTAGTATGCGCAAGAAACTAGCGGCAACTGAAGTAAAAAGGTGCAGATGATATTCTCCCTTTAATTGTGGATAGTTCTAATGTTATTTGGGAGAAATAACTCACCTTCGATAGATGAACTGATCACTTTGCATGGATTGCGCGGGCTTGGTCAAGTTCTGCATATGCCAGTAGATCGACTTCTTCGAAGTGCTCTCATCGCACAATCACGTGAAGGGTGGAAGAGAGCCAGAAGCGGTTAAACAATGACTTGGCAGTGAAGAATAAAAGCCATTACCAGCAAACTCAGCTTTGCTGGCCATTGCCGTCTTCCTGGATGGAGACCCCTTGACAGGCCACATCAATGGTTAGAGACATTATCAGTCATGGCCCAGTCGCTTCCTCGATGGCGCTCATGCATCCAAGCTATCGCCTTCAATGCATAGCTCTCTTCCCAATCCCCCCACTTAACAGTTCACCTACACTGCTGTATTAACGCACTAATTTAACAACTCCAGCCTTAAATCCGCAGCTACCTAGCCCACCTCCCCGAATC